GATTTGATAAAAGTTACTAATAATTGAAATTGGAAAAAATTATTGAACAAAATAAAATTCATAATAAAACTGAAAAAATAGTGGAAGTTAGGTGCATAATTGGATGTATGAAAAATTATTTAAACGATTGTTATATTTCTATCTTGTTATTTGAAAAAATACAATTTTACATATATACAGATACACAGTTAAGTCAAATTTTTCTTTGTGTGATTGCATGATATTATTTGTAGGCATTTGCACAAGTATACTTAGCTCATATACATACATGTTTAAAGATATAATATTAATTTATATATCATACATAACAATGTACATGCTAAATATTGATTTAACTTATACCAATAATAAATACTTTCCTTTTGTTTAAACCACCACTTTTATGAAGATATCGTCTGAATATAGTGTCAGTGATGGATTACAATGTAAATACAAATACAAGAAGCGACAGAATATGATTTCTTATAAGAATTATTATACATGCTTGTATACAGCCTAACACAAAGTGCTTTATTCAGTGATGCATACATTTTTCTTTCCTTTTTTGTTTATTAAATGCACAGATATAATATCCAAAGTTTATAAAAGTTATCTCTAATTTCATGAGATAATACTGAAACCTGTAAACCTAAAATTTTATACTAGAAAGTATGCATTACTGTTTTTACTGTTGATTATGTTTTTGTTTAATAATAGAATTATCTATTGAAGGAAAACTTTCATTTAGCAATTAGTATAAATTCAGGAAATTTTCTTATATCAAATTTTGATTATTTAAACTTTCTTTATGAGAACATTAAATTGTTTAATGCAAGATTTAGTTTAATGTCAAAATGTAAAAGTAATTTTTCAATAATAAAATATAATATCATATACTGAATTGTATTTTATCCATACCATGTTTGACATACTTTATGATTATGATAAAATTTGATGTAATTACATAATTCTAGTAATATTGTAATAACATGAAGAAGTCACTTAAATTTTAAATTGCTCACTTGCACATGTCATAAAACTTGATTACAGAGATTTGTTTACCAAAATAAAAATATTTAAATTGCCACAATGAAATAATCATAGTTGTCTAAGAATACTTAAGAGTAATACACTGTATTATGAATAACATTGCAATGACACAGAAAATTTTTATCATTGGCTATTAATATTTATAATAGATACAACTTTAATGTATAATAATTTTATTTATTTCTCTTCATAGTTTTATAATCTTTTTGTAGTCTGGCACTCGTTTATATCAAAGTGCTCAGTTGAAAAAGATAAATTCAATGTACAAGAATCAAATTTATAAAAATCTAAATAATGACAGATTGAACATCTGATAAGAGAGGGAAGTATTTACCTTTATTCCTTCCTTCTTGTTATAAAAAGCGTATTATAGGTAAATTTGATTCATTTAACGAATTCGTCACCGTGTTAGTCATAATAACAAAATGTATCTCGAAGTGCCACAAATCGTTTGAAAACACTGCGTTTAAAAAAATATATTACGAGAGAAGAAAATCACATTTCCATAATTATCGTGATATTAGTAACAAAGAAAATTATTACGCGTTAAAAGTTTAATTCATTTTTTGTAACTATAAATTGACCATAGATTTATTGCACCACGAAACACGTTTATTATTACGATTAACTATTTACAATTGAATCGGCACTTTAGCGTGCTTTTTCACTTCAAACACACGTACTTTTCGAACGTACACGCACACTCATTAAAAGACAAAGACGGTAAGGCACAGAATACACATTATTACTTACGAGCAATCATTGCACATGGTTGCACAGCCCCGATAAACGAAAAAAAAAAGGCAAGAGGACAAAAGGAACTGGTATGAGAGAAATTTGCTTCCAACATTTTCGTACGTTAACCATGGCAAATGATATTTCATAATTTTTCAACTATCACAAATTAAGTTTGCTCGATAATATCTCTTTGATCTAAACTATTTCAGCTGTTCTAATTACAGAATTTCTCGCGAACAAAATTAAATAATTCATCAAAGCTTACGATTTTAAAAAGAGGATTCAAGTACCGCGTATAAAAATTAAATTTTGCTGGTGATAATCAAATGATTTACTAGTGTAAAAACTGAATGCTTTTTTACAACCAGTAAAACAATTATTGAAATAGTAGTTAGTTTGTGCCCTAGGGTTATCACAAAAAAATGAGTCAGCATCTCATTTTTACTCAAAATCTGTCTTAATTTTTTTTAGACATCTTTTGACTGAACTCATTTCTTTTTCAAGTCTTATTATCATGAACGATCGTATGTACACGTGTAGCCTTTTTCGAATTACTCGGGGCGGTGATAAAAAAAATGTTGCAAATATATGTATGTATACATGGTAATATTGTAAGTGTGTGCATTGCGTATGTGTCACACATCATTGAGAGTACTTGCATTAAAAAATAATTTATCCTTTAATAAAAATCAAAATTATATCTTAATAGAATGTCAATCGTAACCTAAATTAGCGTTTCTATTCTTTGAAATATAGATTTAAATTTTCAATTAACGAAAGTACCCTTAACGATGTTCAATATGCACATTTTCTTTTATTATCTCACTCATTTACTGTCATAGTTTGCTTGACAATCTCTTTTTGACACTTTATTCATTGTCGCGACAAAAATTAATTGCACTATCTGGTTAAAATAAAAGTTTGTCAAAGTTAAAATAATTAATTCTAATGTTAATTCTTTTCTTTACGATACGTAACATTTAAATGGCTAAATAAAAAGGTATTTTATATTAAACAATGGCATTCTCTTTTGCTGGCTTTACATAAAACTTAAATAAGAAGAAAAAAGGAATGGGAATACTACCTCGTTTAATATAAATAAGTAACTAAGGCATTTCTAAATTTTTGATTTTTTTCTAAAATTGCGAAATTAAATATTTACTATGACCGCTTTCTTTAATAAAAATATCATAATTTGCAGTCTAATATATAGCTAGCAAAGTAATAATTATCCGAGATTTACAAAAGTTGGACGCGTCGAACATTTCATGACAGTACGCCCTCTCTTATTTTAGAATTTAAAATTCACATTTTACTGGCTAATTAATCGTGTAAAATAGTACCAGTTACAACATACTTACGTACTTACGCTTAAAGGTACATAGATATTTACATCTTTCTTTCATACACAACTTACGGATACTTCGAGAGAAGAGTTTCTTTTTTTTCTTTTCAAGTTGATCATATAATGACACGCGAAATTGCAATTGCAATTGCATAACAATTTCTCGCGTACTTGCCTCCTTTCCTGAATATGCTCTACACATGACTCTTTTCAGTAATTATCGAGTAAAAGTATTAGCACATAATGTACACGGTTACGAAATAGATCTTGCACGATTTCGTCTGGGAAATGATACCAAATAATTACCCTTATTCTGAATGAAATTCATTATGAAGTTTTTCTTTACTCTCTTCAATTTCAACAGTAATACATAATTATGTTTGTTACTAAAACAGTTATGTCCTTTCAATAATTGAAAACGGAACTTCGTGATTACTGTATTTGATATCTAGCATTGGAAGCACCAATTCATTTTTATCAGACATAGAAGAAAGTGTATAAAGAAACATATTAACCTTAATCCATTATGCTAATAAAAGAATCGTTAAATAACTAATGACTTGATGTTCTTTAATCGAAGATCTTTAGGATAAATGTCCTAGTAAAGTGTTATCAAACGTTTCTCAGTCTTGGAGAGTAAAATATTCCTTGATTTGCGAGTAGTCCCTGTTTGATTTTTTCCACGGCATTCGTTTATGAACGAAATTAAATTGTCGATTAAAAGCAACGGCGTATTTTGTATGTCATTCAAGCGCGTGATCCATCGTTTTCATAGTATTTTCAATACTTAACTGTACAACAAATGAAATCCCTTTAATTATGCTTGGTTATGTGTATATAAATGCGTAATAAAATTAGACAAAATGCTTGTCGTTCGACGACACGAGATTTCAGTCGTTTGGTGTTTGATTTGAAAAAATAATAAATAAATTTTCCGGAAAATTATAGGAACGAAAAATATGTTCAGTTAATAAAAAATTCAATACTACAGTGTAACATGCACTGCTCTGAATAATACAAAAAAAAAAAAAAATAATTCAAGAATATTTCTTTCTGTTCTGACATTTGGTTCATGTTCCAAACATTGTATTCCTTAATCAACTTGAGCAGTGTACCTTTTTGGCATGTGTTTCAATGACTCATGGTCAGTTTTAATTTCTTCTTTGGGGGAAAATTCGTGGAATGAGACAGAATGCACATGTTCACCGTAAACCACAACACTCTTGTAAATGTACAAGTATATAACGAGGCACCGTTTTAAACGCTAATATGTACAATTATTCATCCTAACATGTATTCTGGTGAAAAATATGCGCAATAAGATATCCCTTCACAATGAACAGAACTACTTCATCATCATGAGAAGCATTTCTACACTCTCACTACTTTGTCATGTCTTTCTCTATGCACCAATCAAAATATTCGTCAGTTTCTTTTTTCTTTTTATGCTGCCATCACACTTTTGTACTGCAAAGAAGAAGGAGAAGTAGAAGTCAGTGATGAGAAACGAGGGAGCGACGTGTGTGTAACTCGTTGCAGGAACTAACGATCATAGGAGAAGTTTTCTTAAACCTGCGAGGTTATGCTTCGTAACCTAAGAGACGAACTATTACTTTCGGCACCGCTCAATTGGCATCATTTTCAATTATCGACGTTTCTATCGGTCGCAGTGCACATTCTTTTGGTTATTTTTGTTACCGGAAGTGCTCGTGGGACGCACGTGAACGTGGTTTCCGAAGCGACGCGCAATCAGCAGAAGTTTCTCGCGGACGCCATTGATCTCTGGCCGCGCTTCAGACCTTTTGAACGTCAACAATGGTCTCAGGTGCTGCCACTTCACCAGAGGACACCTGTGGAGTACGCGTCGCGGCGGCCGCGTCTCCACGGGCTACACGGCACAGCCCTTCCTCGTTCCATAAAGAATCTTCAATTCCGGAACGATGATTTTCTTGATCAACGCGTTCGTCTTCGCCGTGAGCATCTCTCGATGTGGATCCTTCTTGAAGATCTTAATACCCGGACGATGAACCAGGAACGCGTTGTCCAGGATCAGGAAATCATAGTTGAGGACGCATAACGCGTAACCCTGAGTCAAGAGAAATTTGAATTAGGTTAACGATGTCCTTTCTCTTTCTAGAAATCGTGGAGTGATTTGACAATTTTCTTTCGGTTTACTTCAAGGAATAAGTAATCCAGTATTTTTTGTCCAATTCATCCAGCCTTCACACTATTAGTGTCAAATTGACTAGGTTTAATCTAACCTGTACCGATTTATCACTTTACATCCTCGACGTATCGATAATATCGATACGAAGAAAACGGTGGATTACTTATTTGTATTCTAACCTGTGTCATTTTGTCGCTTTTTCCTTCCCAGCTAAGCCTCTCGTCGTACAGAGGATCATTATTAGACCCGATGAAGATTGGCTCCCAATGAACAAAACTGCCTGTCCTTTTACCGACGTGAAACACGTGAAGGTCGTCGGTTTCCGGTGCCTGCTGCCACTCTTTACTCCGTGGAACATTATGACAGCCGGAGCACAACTTTTTGTGGAAGGGTATGGCCGTACCGGCCTTCAACATCTGGATCTGAAACGAGAATTTCTCTGTAGATATTTCTGTCGTGAAACAACGAAGATATAGTATACACTGTGTCCCGATAAACGTTATGTGAAGATTCATTTAAAAATGATAACAATGTGATAAAAACACTTTTTTCTATTGGTATTAATTCGAAATATTGACATGTAAGGTTAGGTTCACTTACGACAGTAAGGTGTAATGCGAATGATTCACTCACGTGCAATTTTTTAATAAACCTCTATACAACTTGTATAACATTGTTTCATCAAATTATTGAGAATTCTAAGACGGTGTATATCATTTGAGAAAGAGCTTTTTTATCCAGATTCAACGCCTCTTTACGTAACCTCACTTTTCTTCCCCTTTCGCAGTTTTGTCATTTGGAAAAGGAACATGGAATCGGGTCCGGTGTGACAGAAAGGGGGTTAGGAATGTGTCAGTGGTACGAAATAAGAACAGTGCCGCCTGAAAAGTGAAATGAAATTGAATGCGTTCCATAGAAGTGGCGGAATTGAATTGAATATTTGATAGAAGTGGGGCCAGTGGCCAGCTGCGTATCACAACGATGCTGTTAATTGTACGTATCAAGGTCCACGGTCAAAGGAAGCGCCATTGATTAAACGACCCTCGCGTTCCTCCCATTTAACGCGTTGTCGGATATTATGTCGGTCATCGTCGCACTCTTTCGCACGCGTTTAATTACCGTCAAGTTCACGTTTCTCTTAAATGTCAAATGTGAACGAACCCTGTTGTCATAACATACGCCACATTCGCTTTCCGCTATTATGCGCCTAATATAAAACCTTTTTCCACGTCGATCTCTTTGCGCGGAGTTCTGTCGATTTTTCGCGTATGTTGACTTGCATTTGAATCAGAATTGACTACGTAGGTCAAGTAATGAAATATTCATCGTTTTAACAGAAAAAAAGCTCTGCGTGTGGAAATCTTTTTTTCATTAGCTGGTGTTATTCTTTGAGAAAGGAATATTTCAATTTTATTTCATTTTTGTATTTACTTTGTCATCATTTCTATTCACTTTTTCAATTCCATTATTGATCTCAACTTACCAAACGCGTTTTATTATTGGGTGGCTGACTCTTCCCGTCGACCTCGAAGATGGATAGTACAAAAACCTTCGGGTTAGGGTTGTAGAGGGCCACTTGATCTCTCCTTCTGATCATTTCGAGAAACATTGCAGGCAAGTTTGGATTCGGATAGAGTTCGATGTCGCTGGCAAACACGTAGTAGGTCGGCGCTGACTCCCTAGCTATGTTACGGCCGACGTTCACCGGGTACAGCAGCTTCTTCTCGTTTTTGTACATCTTTGAAAACGTGACGTTCACCCACGGTGGCCCCAGCGAGCAATTATATGTGTCAGACATAACTTTCTCGGGTGGGGGTACCTATTTTAGAATCAGATTGTAGTACACTATGTTAGACCTTTGGAAATAATGGTACACTTAAGAATGTGCAAATTATTTTACAAGCATCGCATAACTAAATTTCCTTGAAAATATTCAGAATTTAATGATAATAGAATTTTTGTAATAAAAAAATTATATAAATATTTGAAAAATTTGTCAGGTGCTGAAAGCGTAATTTCATTGCTCTAAGGAGATTGAACGTCGAGTTACGGTTCATTAATCTTTCAATAGTTCCGCTTCATTTCTCAGAAACGATCTTAGAACTCCATTTAATCTTCTCCCCGCAGAATGCTTGAATTTTTTTACGATCAACAATTTTGTTCCATCATATTTGATAGAGAGGACACAATAGTTACAAGTGGTCGGTTCAGGTTTGAAACATTTAGCCCGATTCTCCATGGACATGTGAAAAGGAAACCCGTGACAGTAGAGGCGATCAAATATTTATAGACAGAATAGTGTGCTTTCACCACGGTCTTCGTATTGTTCAGAAAAGGGCGAGTCACTTTCCTCACTTTTAACTTTAACGCTTGAAAAATATATCTTAAGATGGAGATATTTCGAAAATTCTTTCACATGTCGATAAACTAAAGCTTACTTTATATATATTAAATTTGAAGTCAATAGGTTCAGTAGTTTCCGAAAAAATCGCTCTCAATTAACACCCTTGCATATCAGCCCTCACAGTGCGGGTTGCTATGCATCAGGCGCTCTTGGATTCTCTTTGAAAACGCTTGTAACTTCCAAATGAACTTTCTATTTCAAGTTTACTACTCTACAGTTTTATCTTATTTATTTCACCCTACACATGACCAATAAGAAAATTCTGAAATAATAAACCCACTTTTTCTCGATCAACGTCAATAACACGCTCTCTAACCATTTATCCAACATGTGCATTATATACACATTTCTCTGTAGAAGTGAAACGTAAATAAGGAAAAAGAAAACTTATCAGAATTTCAAAATAAGTGTGATAAATTACAGACGCTGGAAATGATACTTGACGAAAAAGCGAAATGATTTGCAGATTAAGCAAGTATGAGAAACGAACTGCTGGGAGAAGCACTTCCTGCGACTTTTCCATGGCGAAACTCTGTTATTAATTCGTTCTTCTTCGTCTGTATCTCGACGTAACTCTTCGATACACGTGCACGTAATTAATTAGAACGCGGGACCGTGGTTGCAACTTGTGGTCCCCGAGACACAGCAATTACAGTGTGCGAAGCCACTACTTTGTTTCTCCGGGACGATTCTCTCTTTCGGCTGGATTATGCATGCAGAACGGAAAGGAATAAATAGGTATCACTATCGGCTCGCTGATTGGCTTCTCTGCTTAATTAGTACTTTCTCGACCTTTCATTTTGATCCACTTTTCAGTCTTCCTCATTACTGAACGCTAGGATCGTGTTTCCATTTGGCTACTTGATACGCAGATATCTTTTCTTTTCTTTTTGTGCGTCTAGTGATTTAAGGGGGCCACCAGAAGAGGTCGATGAAGTTTCTTAAACACCAACTGGTCCAAGATTCGTTGATTTAAAATTCACCACTTGGTACTTCCTTGACTCTTCATTTTTTGTGGATGTCTGCTGCTTTAACTTTAATCTAGGTGACTTTGAAAATGAGATTGATAATGCGAATGAATTATCTGCAAGTCTTTCTGTGTTAAGCAGTTCAAATTTTATGTCAAACATTTTCACCTTTCTCTGCTGTAGAATACCGAATTAGTTTTGATTACTTGATACATATCTATTTTGTTCAATTTTAGACCTGGCATTAGTATCAGATACACCTAAAAGTCTCATACAATATCCTCAACTATTTAAGAAATCAGTGAGAAAGAAATCCAAGCAACTGTGAACTGTTCAAAATCAGTTGAAAAAGGCACAAATCTTCAATCCTCTCTAAAACTAAACTTGATATATTGTACATACATAACATATTCTGCACCCTTCAAGCTCTCAGTAACACCATCAACCAGATCCAAGAAACATTCATATACACTATATACAGTGTGTCCATAAAGTAGGGACACGATGTCGCCAACAAAACTCACCAGTTTTGGCACGTGTTTGCTGCTGAAGAATACGTGGAAGGTGACCAGCTGTGAGATCAGCGAGCTGCCACAGTTTCTCGAGTACTTGATGGCGTCGAGGGTCGCCGCGAAGTCTGTGCCAGGGGCGTGCATTGCAATCGATATCGGCGCCCTCCATCGCTCCAGCAGCGGCTCCAGATTGTCCAGGAACGTGTAGTCCGCGTGCGTGGTATACGTGACGCTCTCCCAGCATCTGACCGCCATGCTCATCGGCACGTAATTGTAGAGCACCCAGTAATCGCCTCGTTGCGCCCTCCGCGGTTGCATCGACTTCTCGTTGCAGGGCACGGCCTCCTTGAGGCTCATCTTCGGTCGTTCTGTCGGTGCGTTCTTCACCTGCGACGAGAAAACACTTGGTTAATTGGATAATTCATTCCTTCGGTTTTTTTCTGTTTTTATTTTTGCTTTTTTCTTCTTGTTTGTTTTCAAAGGCACTTACGATGGTAGGTATTTCTTAAACGACAAGATGCGTGTGAATTTTCTGAACGTACGTCACCACTTTTCGTACACTGTTAAAGGGTTAAAGATGACAGAAAAAATTTTCGATCGAGCGTCATTTTATAATCGATAAAACTCGACGAAAATTTATCTCTTATTGTCACATATTTTTTGTGTTTTGAAAATTTCTGGCTTTACCAGTTTATGTGGAACATTCGGTTCTAGAATGATCATTAGAGGTTAGGTGACGATGTTGAAATTTTCGACAGTAGTGTATGTAAAGGCTAAGTTAAGTATACAGAATAATATAGGGCAATGAAAGGAACATTTTTCGTCGAATAAACGTATGTTCTATCTGTTTCGGTATTTTAATAACACAGCTTCAAAGGTGTAGATTTTAGGCGCCCAAAGACGAGCAACCAGCCAAGCAGAGACAGTAAAATATCGAGTGGAAAATGACATATTGGCGATTAAATTGTCAGAAAGTATGTTTAAAAAAGATTTTATGAACATTATCAAATGAATAGTATTCACTATTAATATTATTATATCATGTATTGTATTATATTATATTATACTGTAACATACTAACGTTATTTCCAAGAAGCTTTCATACGTGACATTATGGGTATTCTAGGTTGTTACTAAATTATTGTTAGATACGATTTCTTGCAGTAGTCTCTGGCAGAAAGGTTGAGGAGCATCGAGGCGGAAGGTAAAAGCGTTCGCTTCAATTTTGCATGACGGTGGGAGGGGGGCAAAGGGGAAGGGGGAGAATTTCTCCAGTGAAATATTGAACTGTACAGGAGTTGTTGAAGCTGTTGCTGAGCCTAGTTTGATGCGATACAATTCCTTTTTGGGCATTTTAATTTTCAATGACCAGTCCATTTTTGGTTCTGAGTAGATGAGAGTTGATTGAAAAGTTCTATCGTTTCAGTCAGTCAGACTTAACAGATAATATACTTCGTATATCGAGTGTTTCGTAATTTATTTTCAATCCAGTGGTTTTTCAAATTTTCCAGTTGAAAAACGATTAGATTTTGAAAGTTCGAATGTTATTATTGAACTTGCTAGCTTCAAATTTTCAAATCGTTGGATATTCTAAGTTTTAAATTTCCAAATTTCTGAATTGTCGAATTTATGAAATATCCAAATATTCAAATTTTTCAATTTTGAAATTTGCACGTTCATAAATTTTCAGATCTTCAAGCTTCCAAATTGCCACAAGTGAAATTTCAACATATCTAAACTTTCGAAATTTCAAAACCTGCAAATGTTTAATTCCTAAACCCTGAAATTCTCAAGTTTTTCAATTACGAATTTCCCAATTTTCTTGAACCTTCAAATTTGTCTTTTCACATTTCCACAGTACAGATTAATTCCAATTTCCCCCGACCAATTGATTTTTCCGCCCATCCACTGTCGTATCCAAAACCTACTCCCAATCTTTCTAAAACGTCCTCCAACTATACATCGAAGAAGAGTCACCAGCCACCTATATTCCCAGTTACGTGATTCACCGTCCCCTGCGCCGTGGACAATGCAAAAGTGGCTCTCTCTCTCAAACGTAAGAGAGGCGGGAAATCTTATCCAATGATCAGGATTTCAAACGAGGTCGAGCAGCCTTTCATCCAGTTGAATTTTGGATGAAAGTCGATCGGTCTGTCTCTTGTGAAACACACTTTTCCGCGATAAAATCCAACGATAAGACGGGGTAGGAGTATCTGTAACGATGAACACTAACGTACTCTGTTATTCGAGATCCCTGTCCTTTTTTTTTTAAATCTTTTTCTTTCATCTGTGCTCGTGTTTCAGTGACGATAAAGGGGAAAATGTTTCCAGCGAAAATAATATCCAACGGCTTGTAGAAGGCTCCGTCGAATACCTTCGTGAGGGAAGATAAAGGCCAGCGACGTCAGCACAGTGTGCGCCATGCTGAACGAAATACTCGATAAAACGCGAAAAAAGGATGAACCTGCCCATCGAGATTTTTCGTTGCTTGGTAATCTTGTCAGGCGACTAAAAAACGAAAAGGGGCTGGTCTGAAGAGGTTTGGGGACTCGTGGCTGGCTTGGGCCAGTTTATGATGGCGTCACTTCCCGTACAGTGTGCGTAATACTCCAAGCATTTGAATTATTGTTTTTGAATTATTTAGATGAATAAATGGAACGTTGTGTAAATTGTAACAAAAATTTCCGTCGGTGTGAGTATACAGGGTGAAAAAAAAAACATTTGTTCAAAGAATGCATTAAACATTGTGATTCTAGTCGGGAGTCTTTGAAAAATAACGTTAAACTCGCACCTAGAAACAAAAGAGGCTGAACGAGTCAGGTGAGATACAGTGTCTGACAAAAGTTTTCAAAGTCTGAGTTTAGTCATTGATTGTGATGGAATGGAAAACAGTAAAAAGGAAAGCGCGATAAAAGTCGATACTTTGAGGTACATATTTATTTAAAATAAGTAAAATGTTTAAAATAAAAAAAAAAGTGTCAATACGTAAATCAAATGTTTTTACAATCTACGTCTGGGAATTTTTGTTACATACTGTATATCGTCAGCGGAATGATTAGTCATCCGAGCAGTGATTTGATGGAAAGCTCGATAAAACGAGATTTCTCTAGATCTTTTTGCTCAATTATCACGGTGGTGCGTGTGATTGTCGTACTTGGCCGGAATCGAACGTGATTATTAATCGTGGTCTGCGCAATCTGTCAGCGATCGTGATGCTAACAAATGGTCCACGAACCGCCTCTGATCGAATCAACGATCGATCCGTGAAATTGGCCACGGTTCGAGATACAAATAACAGAGCTGTGAATAATTCATTGACCCTTAAACAGCTGGCTCTGTGCGGGATGATGACAGTAAGAGATGACTATCTCTTAAAATATATCGTGATCATCTAAAAAATTTAATTAAATTAATTTCAGCCAGAACTTTAATCTGATAAATTGAAATTAAAATGTATAAGTCTAAAACCAAGGGTGGCTCGACCCATCTAATTTTCTCAATTATCTACATCAGTGAATCAGCGACTAATTACTGGTATCTGAAGCTACATCGGTATAGCGTTCTCACTTATTGCAATGACTCGAATCCTCGTGGTCACTAACACATTCGAATTAAATTAAAAGCATTAGTTTATACACTATTGTACGATAAAGGTACCAAATTCATGGTTATTAGGATAATATTAGCAGCAAGCTTTGTTTTCAACTTTGTCACTCAAAAAATTTCCCGTAAGATTAAGATGTTTTGAAAATTCTTGTTCCAATCGATGAACTGAAGCTTGTTTTATATGTCTACTAAATTTGAAGTCGATAGGTTTATCGATTTCCGAAAAAATCGCCCTCAAATAAACACTTGCCCATTAGCCCGTACCGATCGAGTTGTCATACATCAGGGGCTTTTGGGCCATCGTTTTAACTCTTTGGGGCATAGTGGGGTAAAAAGTGTCCCACCTTTTTAGTTGTTACATATGCACAGTTTTATAACCCACCTTGAAACATTGAGAAAACAGAACTAATCTAATTTAACCTGTTTTCACAAATTTCATGGTGCGATTATTTATGTCCCACCTAATAATTAATTATCTTAACATTTTTTTTAAAGTTTTAGTTGTTTTATGTCGTAATTCATACCTACTTTGTTATATTCTTTTAAAATAAAATTCCTGCGCAACTAGAGTTTGTTTTTGTCTTAAAATTCTGTGCTTCAAAGAGTTAAACGCTCAGAATTTCCAAATAAAGTTTCAACTTCAATTTTGAAGTAGAATCACCCTGTACATGGCGAATAAAAAAAAATCCTTATCCTAGTGGAAAAAGCTAGCAGCCTTGGCCTCGTCGGGCGTTGGCCTGGTAATGAGTGACCTTACCCTTAACTGGCTGGTTGTGTTACTATGGACTCCCTTGTTGCTGGCATCCTTCGTAGCAGGCAGGGCCGACGATGTGGCGTCCTTTTGAGTGGCGTCTTTTTGAGTCACGTCTTTTTGAATGGCGTCTTTTTGAGTCGCGTCTTTTTGAGTGGCGTCCTTTTGAGTGGCGTCCTTTTGAGTGGCGTCCTTTTGAGTGCCGTTCACGAGGTCTACGGCACCAAAGGTGTCCGTTTGGAGTGGCGCCGCCCAGTTGGTTGGCGGTTCCTCGATCCAGGGTCCGGAGGAGCCGAAGTAGGCGCACACGTAGAGCAACACGCAGATGTTGAGCACCACCGACAGGCGAAGTGCCCAATTTCTACGCAGTATGCTGAACATGCTCATTCTCCAGCCTCCTCCAGGACCACGTTACCGTCCTACTATCGAGATCACTGCGTTGTCGAGCGGACCTGAATGTCTTTGACGCCCGGTACCACCACCAGCCCACCCCTAAGGGGCCAGTACTACTCCGCGATCAGGATCTGAGCGGAGCTTCCGGTTGCTTGCTGGAAAGAAAGGTAATTTCCTTGATGAATATTGTATATATTTCTTTTTTTATTCGATAAGTTAGTTCGTGAATTTTTTTTGTGAAATTGAGCGTTGGAAGTAATTGCTCTTCTAATTACCATTTTTTAATCTCAAGTTTCTTAATTTTTTAATTTTCAAATTTGAAACTTCCAAATATCAAAGTTCTAAATTTCACACATTCAAACTTTCATATTTTTTTCCCCTAACCTCTCAGACATGATCCTAAAACTTGAATCTCTTCGACCACATAAAATCCCTCCGAAAAGCAAACTGATTATCTCGCCTGGCCCTGAATATATGAAACCAACTCTGTACCACAACTTCATCACAACTCTACCTTTTCTGTTACTTCCTACCACAATACGATTCTAGCCAATTTATATCACACATGTCCAACTAATTACCAGAAAAAAAAAGAAAAAGAGAAAAAAAAACACCAGGAAAATATTACTGAAATTTATATTACATTACAGAATGTTACGAAGTTAATCCGTTCACGCAACCCCGCGGCGTGCCTAACGATCCAACAATGAAGCCATTGCCATGCTCGTTCGCGTAGTCATTCATGCGTAGTGAGTGAGGCCAGGCAAAAAGGATCGAACCCGCGGCTGTAACGTGTCATTATCACCGGTGGCTTGCGTTAGGTAACTCCGGCTGACTGGCTGGGC